AAAAAAACAAAAGAATTGTTCATGTGGCCCCTGAAGTCAGAGGTACAAGAAGAGGATAAGCCATGTGGTTGTAATAGGGGAGAGAGAAAGGTAAAAAAGATCCAGATCTTGTCACCCCTACTATTACAATGAGCTGACAGTAGGGGGGGATGTTGACAGCCTCAAGTGTTTCCCTGCCCTAAAAGTCCAAGATCTCAGAATAGTACCAGAAGGTTGAATGTGTGGGTTCCTGGGAAATAAAAGAGGAACTCATGAGAAGTAGAAGTAGTGTCAAACTCCAATAGAAATGGATCCCTGCAGCCCCACATTGACTTAGAAAACAGCAAGCTGAAATTACCTATGTTGACACCACTGGCTAAACCATAGATCCGCACTACAAATCTGGGAGCAACTAAGTAGATGTCTGTGGAAGAAAGGGATTTCAGTCTAATGTCAAAGATGACCTGAGAGCAACCCCAAATTCAGTTCCTTTGCAAGGGGAATTTAGCTTCTGAGCTTCTGTGAAGTGCCTTATGGTTTTCTGTCTCTGTTTATGGACTATGAGTCCTTTACAACTTTTGTATTTTCAGTGGGACATCAACTTGTACCTTGAGTGCTTATCCAGGAAATGACAATAACTTCCTGTTCATACATCTATCACTGCCTCTAAACCGAGAGCAAGAATTTTCCCACTGTCCTTTTTTCACCCCTAGGTTTCTTGTATTTTGAAATCAAATAGTAAAAAGTCAAAAATACATTATTTCTAGTAAGTATTCCAAACCTGATGGGAATGATTTTATTTTTCCCCAGACTACTCAGGTAAAGTTATCTGACACACTTTTTATATGATGCTTTAAGAGGCCACTTTTAAATACAGATGGGTTATCAGAAAGTGATGGTATGATGAGAACCCTGGAAAGTGATGGTATGATGAGAACCCTGGACTACAATAGAGAAGACCTAGGTTCCATTCCCAGATTATCTGATACATGATTTTGAATAAATTACTTGACTTTTCTGATTCTATTTCCCCATTTCTAAAATGGAGTTAGTAACTAAGAGAAGTCCTTTCTATCTCCTGGGGTTTCCTGATGCTAAGATGAAACAAATGCACGTGAAAGTGTAAAGTACTATACATATACAAGATATCATACCAGAAATCATGTTTCACATTTACATGGTGCTTAACAGCTCATAAAATGCTTTTCTCATGGCTCTGTGAAGTAGATCCCCACTTTAAAAATGAGAAAATGGACTCAGAGAAGTTAAGCAGTGTTTGTCCATGGGCACACAGCTAAATGTTAAACCAGGCCTCAAACCCAGTTCTTCTGACTCTAAATCCTGTGCTCCTTCCATAAGAAGATGCTGCTGATTTAAAGTGCTATGCTTCTAAAAATAATGTGTAGTAGATATTCACACACCAAGGTTCTAGAAGAGGCTGTCCCTCACATCCTATTGTTATCTGCTTCCCTGGCCTGGGAAATTCTCTGACCAATACATTCAGAACAGAAATCTAGATCACCCTTTGAAAATCAGCTCCTCTTGCTCTTAACTTCTCTGTTTCAGTTACTGGTATCTCTACCCTCCCAATCACTATAAACTTCATATCTTCAACTAATCATTCTCACCTTCCCTATCCAATCAGTTAACAATTCCTGTTGAATTTACCTCTGCCAAGACTCTAGCATTCTAACATTCAACCTGTCAATCTCAACATTCTCCCAAAAAGTCTAATCTGCTCAGATTAATTTGATCCCCTGCTCAAAAACCTTCCATGACTCCATACTACCTGCAATATAAAAGATCAAATTCCTTGTCTGGCAGTCAAGGCCCTTCATAATTTGACATTAACCTGAGTATACCATGTATATTCTCACCTCCCTGCCTCTGCTCAAATGTCTACCTTTTTGAAATGTCCTTTACCACTTATTCCCAACTCTCTTCCCCAGTTACTGCCCCGATTCTTTATCTCAGAACCTAAGTACTACGTGGCTATTCCATCTGCCAGGAACTGAACAAAAAGTCTGGGCATCCTTGAGGTGCTATCCCCTCGAGTTAGAATGTGAGCTCCTTCAGAGTAAGGACTATCTCAATTTTCTATTTGTATTCCTAGTGCTTAGCTTAGAATAAGAACTAACTAAATACTTTTCCATTCCATTCTCAGGCCACCACAACCCAAGTCCACCACTACTCTTCAAATTGAAGCTCAAATGCTACTTCTTCCCTCAAGGTTCATTGCAGTGGGAAATAATCTCTACCACTTCTAGATTCTCATTATACCTTATAATCTCCTACAGTTATTACATTCTGTACTTTTACATTTATTTGCGTAGAAAGCTTAAGTAAGTCCCCCAGAAAATTTAAGTTCTTTGAAGCAGGGACCTGTCATCTCCTCTTCCTCTTCTTCATCACAGCCTACCAGTTACTTGCATGTAGTAGGTACTCAACAAATATCTACTAAACTGAGTTCCCTTAGGCAGTCTAAAATATTAGGGGGATCCAGGTTCAAGGAACCCAAGAATACTCTGTACTAAGAATTCAAAATTTTCTCTCAGTTTATCTTCCTTGTCAGTTCTGTCTTACTAGAACATGTTATTTATCTCCTACATTTATTTGTCTTTTGTTTCCCGTTTATAATTATTTAAAAATTGTGCTTTAGCTAGCACACTGCCACAGAGGGTTAAAACTTGAGAAACACATCTTTCTGGCTCTACAGCCCAAGAAATCTATTAAACGGTCCTCTCTAGTACAAACTTTAGAAAATGCTTCAAATCTCTCCCCACTCCAATCCATCCTCCACTCAGTTGTCAAATTAATCTTCCCAAAGTGTAAGGAGGCTGGAGATACCAGGAATTGAAACAGAGAAGTCAAGAAAAGGAGGGGCCGATATTAAAAGGATGATAACCTGCTCATGTCACCCTTGTGCTCAAAAAACTCCAGTGGCTTCCTATCAACTCCAGAATCAAATATAAAATCCTGTTTGGCATTCAAAGTCCATCACAACCTGGCCCCCTCCTAACCTTTCCAGTCTTCTTCTACCCCACTCCTTTCCAAGTACTCTGCCTCTAGTGACACTGGTCTCCTTGCTGTTCCAAGTCAACTCCAGACTCCAGGCATTTTCTTTTCAAAATAAATTCATTATTTATTTATTTTTAACATTCATTTCGGGGAAAATTTGAGTTCTGAATTCTCTCCCTCTCTCCTGCTCCTCCCCCATTCACTGAGAATCTCCAGGCGTTTTCAATGGCTGTTCCCCTATTCTTCCTGCTCATCTCCACACTGGTTTCCCTAAAGTCCCAGCCAAAATCCCATCCTAATCTCCTTCCCTCTGCTGATTATCTCCAATTCATCCCGTATATAATGCTCGTTTGTGCAGTTGTCCGCATTTTGTCTCTTACGTTAGACCGTGAGCTCCTTGAATGCAGTTTTTTGCCCGTCTCTGATTGACTTCTGTAACGCTACTTTGGCCAGGTTAACAATGATGACAGCTGACGTCTACGTAAAATCGACTTCAAGCCTTACAAAACACACTGCACAGATCCCCTCCGATCCGCACAAAGGGCCGGAGCAGCGGGAAGGGCAACGTCGGTTTCTGGGGTCCCCGGGGGTGAACACGTGAGAACGGGGGAAGTCGACCCCTCCGCACCCAGCCCAAGGCCGCCTCCACCTAGGGTCCCCAAGGAGGGAGAGGGAGAGGGGGCGGGGGTGTGGCAGGAGCTAGAGCGTGGCTCCTCCCAGCAGCCCCTGCGGTGGCTCCTCCCCCGCCCTCCTTCAGTTCCTCCCCACTCCACTGTAGCGGGGGTGGGGGGGATGGGGGGAATAAGAGAGTGATTCGACCCGACCTTGAAGAAGGCCAGGATGGAAGCGGCACAGGCCGAGGACGCCCCCTCACTGCAGCCTTCCCCCTTCCCCGGGACCCGGGCCCACACTTACGAGGAACAGCGACTGAGCGACCTCCAAGGTTCCGACGGGAAAGCAGAGGAAAGGGCAGGGCAGAAGACGAAAACCTCCGCCATTCACGGAAGGATTAAAGAAAAAAGGTTGACCGGAAGTGGGTGCGGTCGTTCCCTGGCTCTACAGCAGCTTCCGGCTGCGCTCTAGGAGCCCTGGAGGTGTCGGCGTCTCGTTTGCTTTTTGGGTGGGAAACGGGAAGGAAGGAAAGGGGCAACCCAAGGGGGAAGCAGCCTAGGGATGGCCGCGCGTCAGAGGATCGGGGTTTGGACCTACCTGCCCCTTTCTAAGCTACGGCGCTCTCCCCCGAGCCTCAGTTTCCTCGTCTTCGACACACAAGGGGGTAGGACCAGATCCTTTAAAGCAGCCAGCATCACATTTAACATCAGAAAGCTAAAAACAAATGCTATGTCCAGCGATAGGGGATGGACAGCTACGCAAACTCCTTTACATTTAGGGGAACCTGGAGTAACATAAAATGACTTTGCAGGGAAGGGGGAGACAAAGGCTTCCAGCAGGTTTTTCGTAGAAGTTTTGCCAAGCAGTCTTGGTCTCAGAGTCCTAGGACAAACTGGAGATTGTTTCACTTCCAGCTCTTCTGTAACTACACATGTCGCTTGCTTTTGCGGCTCTCCTAAAGGCGGGGTTGTTCATCTTTTGGTGTTGTAGACCCCTTTGGCAGTCTGGTGGCACCTAGGGACCCTTTCCCAGAGTCATGTTTTTAAAAGGTGTAAAATTAAATACATGGGATTACAAAAGAAGGCAGTTATATTGAAACATAGCCATCAAAATGTTTAAAAACAAAAGTAATTTCACAGACTTGTGATTAAGAAGAACTCTTAGGGGCAGCTAGGTAGATAGAGCACCAGCCCTAAAGTCGGGAGGACCTGAGTTCAAATCCGGCCTCAGACCAAACACTTGACACTTACTAGC